ATATGTGATTTGAATTTGTTTTTACTTCGTATTTTGTTCTGTTTTGTTCAAGTTTTATTTCCTATCCTCGAAAATCAAGTGAAGATCCCAACTCAAGATATCGAACATATATATAATAAATAACAGTTAACTTGTGAAGAAAGAAAGAGGAAGAGACAATTCGCATAAAGGAGCCATTCAAGAATATCTCTTGAAGAAAGAGTTAAAAATACTCTTCATAAAAAAACCCCCAAAATCTTTATATAATAACAATAGAAAACTACTTTCAATGAAATTTTAATAAAAAAGGACAAGAATAACAACACTTTTAATAAACCCCCTAAAAAAGAATACAAACAACAAAAACACCTACCTAAAAACTACCACTAGGAAAATACAACCAAAGGAGCTTTATAAAGAATGAATCACTCAACAGAGACTATAGATAGAGTCTTTTGTAATATATATAATCCATTCTAAACTCTCTGTAAGACTTGCTTTATACTTTTCAGACAAAGATATCTCATCTTACCCATCGATCTGTCTATGTGTACTACCTATCTATTCCCTCATGAAAAATCAAAAAAATGGAAATCGAAAGTAAAGATCAAAATCTATAAATAAAATATCTCGCAGAACATAAATGAAGTATCCGGATCTCCATATCAATATCCCCATGTCTCCATGCTTTAAGCCTTGGCCTTGGGTAACATAATACAACATAACATAAAGAAAATCACCATCTAGCTAAGATCTTACTTAGAACTATATGATTAAGTTAAGGTTACCCAATCGACCAATCACTTACAACTAACTAACTACTCAGCTGACCAGTCAACCCGCCTCAATACCCTCAAGACTCATAACCCTCACTTTAATCACCTTCACTTAACCTTAACTCTAACCCCCAAATTTACTTCCACACACCCTTCCAGACATGCCATAATAACAACACCATAATAATCCTAACAATACCACACCACACCAAACAACACCAATACTACCAATACTCAAATACCCAAATAAATAAATAAGATAAAAAATAAAATTAAAAATTTAACAAATATAACCTTCCCCAATATATACACATAGCACCATCGCACCACTCAAAAAGCATCAGCATCAGTATATACATCAAACAGTATCTAAATAGATAGTAGCTAGTAAGTAATTCTATCTATCTACTTATTCTACCTATTCTAATAGACCTAGGTATCTACACTAACTATTAGACACATCTCCAGAGTGATATCATGAGTGCGTATTCACTTTTGTATGGATAGTTTGCTCCGCTCAGCTCATTTCAAAATATCTATTAAAAGCTCTGTCGAGATTCCAGCCAAGACTCCCGCTAAAGAAAATGATATGTTGCTAAGGTCATCTGCAGTTATGACTCTTCTTCTTTCTCTGCTCGATACAAAGGTATGATATGAATCATCCATTGGTTCACGCTTTGCTGGAGTTTAGTTCCGTCAATGCCAATTCAAATGCCCAATTCAAATCCATCCACAGATCCTAACTCCATACCCAGAACTAAAAAATATTAATCTCGTTCCCAAAAACTTCCGTTCAGTTCCTTATCTATCCATATACGTCTTCCCATCCACTTCAACCTTATGCCATCCATTACCTCCATACACATTCGTAATAGTCGTATGTGTACTTCCACGTTTATCCGCAAGCACATCCCTAGAATGGAAAATCGGAATCGGAATCTCCAATTCCTTTTCATCTAAACTCCCACTCCCCGCCGTCAAGGGTCTAGAAACTTCACTCTCCCTTCCTCCATCCCCTGCAACAACCCTTCCAACCAATTCCCTCTTCCTCCTTTCTTCCTCCTCTAATTCCTTTTCCTTTGCTTTTGCAAGTTTCTTTTGCATTCGCTTGCCGCGACATACTAAACACCAAGTGAGGATTCCGGTGATAATACCTATGGCGACTAGAAATGCGAGAATTGTTCCCCAGAAATTAAATTGTACTTCCCAGAATCCCGCATTGTGGGCGGAGGTTGGAGGGGATTCGTCGCGGGGGATTAGGGGATTGGTTTGCGGGAGGGGGGTTAGGGTACCAAGGGTACGGAGGAGATGCGGGATGTACATGGTGTTTGGTTGCTGAGCTGAATGTACAGGATCGTGTGTGTAGTGGTGTCGGCCCTTGTTGAGGGCGTTGTGGTGGAGGTAAAGTATGTATGTCGCTCTCCGTAAAACAGTATGTACAAGATTGATCTAACAGACCAAGTCGAATCGAAAGGGCCCACTTGGAAAGATAAAGTAAATGACGTTGCTTCAAAGCAATACGAATGTAATATGCTCGTATCCCCAAAGTAATCTCTGTAAATCCTTGTAATCTCCAAAGTAAAATGTATATGTTGATCCAGCAATAAATGAATATAATCAAGAGCGTATCCAAAATGATATAAAAGTTCCAAACAAGTTCCAAGCTACGCCTAGATATCAACGACTTTATGCTTTCTTTGCACGCTTTGACTCGAAGGAGTTTCTTCCTTGTATAAAAGTTTATACAAGTACTTTGTGTTGTTCAATGTCCGTGATGTGATCTCCTTGATATGACTGGTTGAATGAAAGTATTTTTACACCCTCCCCAAAAATAAAGTTCTTGTTAAAGAGGCTGAAGTGATTGAAGAAAGAATGACGAGTTTGTTGAACTGTTTGTTGAAAAAGTGGATGAAAAGATATCTATCCCTTCTTTGTCTTGTCTTAGACTGAATCTTGTCGAGTGCATAAAGAGTGGTACAAAATGTCAGTACTATCTGTGCAGAATAGGGAATCAAAAGAAAGTAATCCTATTCCGAGAATCCGATGACCTTAAGAAGATATGGTAATGATATACACAGCCCTCCAGTCAAAAGTAAATAAATGAATGAATCTTCACCCAAGCCTTTCCCCAAATTTCCCACTACGACGTACTCATAGAAAAACTAATCTCTCACTCATCAAAAGGAAAAAAAAAGAAGAATTTCCCAAGGAAAAATGGTGTCCACAAAATACAGTAATAATTGTATATGTAATTACATGTAATTATATGTAATCAGAAAGAATAGGATCAAAAGATTGGACGAACATATCTGGGGAAATTGCAACGAAACAGGAATTCATCATCTTCATATATTGGTTCAAATATTCATTTTGTATATCCACATGGTGTGCAACACAGTTAATTCAATATGCACTTGCCGTAACTTGCCACTTGCCAAGCTTATCCAATCAAAACTTCTTTATGCATGAAATCTTCTAAAGGGAAAAAAGCCACGGGAAAGAAGTGAAGATAAAATGATTAATATGCCATCAAGCCACAAACTTATCGAGGATATAAACCGTTGTCGATATTCACCATTCTTGTAAGCCTCCGTCTGTGTGGCAAGGTATGGAGGAGATAAATACCAAATACCAAGACGGTGTTTGATGAATTCTGGGTATACTCCGGGATGTAAGATCTTATGTGTTTTTGACCCTGAGAAATCCGGTACATACTAGGTATACATAGACTCCTGAATCCCTGCTATTATTCTTCACTGCTACGTACCTTTTCATCCATATCTCGCCTCAATCTCTACAATCCAAATCATCAATCAAGCAGTCAGTCGATCAATCAATCAATTCTCGCATGA